GCAATTAACTGGAGAGACATGGGCTCTTAAATTGTCAGGAATATTACATTCAGGATTCTTACTAGTTGAGATAATTTTCCCATTGGTGCAGAATAAAGTATGTGAAACACCCTACTTTCTTTATTGGTCCTTGGCTGCTGCTTCAAAAAGCAACTTCTATAAAACTTTTGAACTTCATTAATTTTAAAAAAGACAAAATGTCTATCAGACTAATGTAATGGCACTATATAATTTAGGTTCATTATTAACATAAAAGGGAAATGAAAGTTCTTGTCTCTTTCAAAATTACCATGAAAATATATGATGGTATCAGTACAATTTTTGATTTGTGGCCCAGTCCATATTACATATTACAAGAGAATTGTCAGGCTCAAAGGATCAGGATCATGCATAAGTTCAGAAGATTTATTGCTCAAGCTTATACACAAAAAGCTAGTCAACTAGCATACAATACTAAATTTGTATTAGAAATGGGTCACCAGAATTCAAGATAGGTTGGACTTGAACCATTTGTGGAAGCATAACAACTATAGGCTGATGACTCACTTAACTCCGCCCTCCAGCTCTGCCTACTCTTCTCATCTATGAATATTGATATGGTAGACAAATATAGGGAAGGCTAAGAACCTCCCTAGGACAGCCAAAATGAAATACCTAAATACATATACACACAAGCAAGCAAGATGGAACAGGCTAGCCCTCTGATTAAAGTAAATGTTAGAATTGCCAACAGATCAAAATATTCTACTTTAATTTGCTACTTAATGAATTTGTTACATTGCATGTTAACTTGGGTTTTTTTTTTCAGAAAGAGTATTTCAGTAAATACTGATACTTGCTATCACAGGAAAAAAGGGTAATATATGACAGCATATCATTAATTATAACAGTGCAAGATTTATCATTAAATTGCTTCCATCTAATTACAATTGCCCCTGCACAGTTAGCATTAAATTGATTTATTTTTAGGTTACTCCCAGGTAACAGGGCTTTTATTGTGCAGGCAACACTACAGTCACAGAATTCTTCCTAGGGCCTACCTAGGTATAGTTTTTATTACCTTCCTGTATTTTTCCACATTTCCTCTCCTCTCCCCTCTTCTCCTCCTCTCCAATCTTCTCCCTTCCCCTCTCCCCCTTCCTCCCTTCTCCCCCTTTCTCCCCTCCTCTCCCTTCCCCTCCTTCTCTTCTCCTCTCCCTTTCCCTCTCCTCTTCCTCTCCTCCTCCTCTCCTCCCCTTCTGTCCCCTTCCCTCTCTCTCCTCTTCTTTGCCACTTAAAATGTATTATGGAAGCAAACGTTTAAAACGTTCATGATGTTTTTTGAATGGCAAAACAAAAAATCTATATGAAAACAGGCTAGAGCTTGGCAGAAATTTAAGACCAATATAAAAGGAATTTATTAGATACATAATGTTATGTTGCTAAATTATTATGTTGACCTTAGATTTTGAGTTCAGTTTTATATTTCACTGTAAAGTTCTCAAATGAAAGGAATAAAAACTACTGTAGCTTAAAAATGTACGACAAAAGAAAAAACTATTGGAAAGTGGCTATCTAACATAACTTAGATTTTTTTAAAAAAACACACACAATTTTTGCAAATTATTTTGCAAAATAGACTGTGGGGAATTACCAATAAGATAAATTTAGAACACAAGCAGATTTGAAGTAGAATTTTAAATTAAAAATACATTGTACTAAGTACATTGTAATTATTTCATGTTAAAGCGTGGTGTAGAACAAATTGCCGGAGGAAATGTTAGAACCCAAGAGTCAAATGAACAATCATTTTCTCAGGTGGTTTAAATCATGAGACTCTGGCATGAGACAGACTGGTTTTGTTTCTCTTTCCTGTTCCCTTTAGCTTGAGATCATCTATTCAAGTTATCCTTAGCGTATATATTTATTCATGAATAAATCCAACCCAAACAACTTTTTTTAAAAAAATATTCTTTTGTGTTAAATATATTTTTGCTTGCTCTAGCCCTTTTCAAATTGTACAGTATAGAAAAGGACAAAACCTTATTGGGAGTTTCTTGGGAGGTGGGGGGCAGATTAAAATCCAGCCTCTGATCTCTGCGTGCCACAAGTCTTCAATTATGCACTCTTCTTGCTGCCAAAATTTCACTGTTATCTTTCAACTGTGGAGTATTTAAAAAAAAAAAAAACTCAACAACTGAGGAGCAGTTCCGTACTTCTCTGTTCCAGTCACAGAACTGCACTCCAGTGCAAATGGCAGAGGCGGCAGATCTAGTTTTGTGGCTGAGACTCAAGGCTTCACATGTGCTAAAATGTGACTCGGAGCGCTTTGCTTTGAAGCCTAACCACAGCCAGGGAGCTGTAATTTCTGTCTTTGATTGCACCGACTTCACTTGCGGGTTAGGCTTTGCTTGGGCTTGCCTGGGTTGGCCAAACTTCAGCTGTAGCTCTCCAGTGGAGCCTTAGATGTGGGAAGTCTTCTGTCTCTGTAGCACATACCTGTGGTTTCTTAAAAGGAATCCTGGCGTGACCTGTTTCATATCTGCTAGAGAACTCCATTATGTTCCTTTAAGGCTCCAATCAGTTTATCAGTAGGAAATGGAAGGATCGTGTGTGTGTGTGTGTGTGTGTGTGTGTGTGTGTGTGTGTGTGTGCGCGCGCGCGCGTGCGTGTTTTAAGCTTAAAATTAAAGGAGGCAATGTTGATGCTGCTGTAAATTTTTATTGGGTGAAGGACTTCCATTCTCAGACTTAAGCAGAGACACACATTTAAAGTTGGCGGTACCCTCTTATAAAAATTAGCACTCACATTTTCAGATGTATGAAAAAGGGGTCCGTTAAGAATAACGGTGATGCTTGGAAAGAAAATCACAGCTATTGTCTTTCTGAAAAGGGTGGGCTAGAGAAAGACTGGACATTATTTTAATCTCCCCGCTTCAAAGAAAGGCTTCTGGGAAGAGAAAGGGTGTGGGTCGTGGGGACGGGAACCATCTCAACAGAAGAGCATTTCATTTCCTACAGCAAGGAATACTTTCCCTGGCTCTAACAGAGAATTGCTCTGAATTGCTCTGCTTGTGCTGTGAACTGCTGGCTTGGTGCCTGAAGGCTATTCCTCAACAGGAAACAGAATGTTTTAATGTAAGACTGAAAGGAAAACCTTCCCAGGAAGAGCAACCTGGACCAAACCTTTGAAAATCTGCGATGAAAAGGCCTAAAATAAATATAAAACTGCAGGGTTCTGTTTCTCCAGTGGTTTCTTTGCTTTTTTGCTTGGCTTCTTCTCTGTCCTCCTTAAAAAAGAAAATCCTTCATAGTTCCTTTTGATCCCCTTCTCTTCCTGGGCATATTTTTAAAGACAGAATCTGATGAGGCTTTTTAAAATAGTTATTATAAGACAATCTTTATGATGAAATTAGAATTAGGTGAGTCAGATGCACACCACTGCCGTTGAATGGCTGGTTTTCTTCCACAGAGGATACTGGAGTCTGCTTTTTCAAAGGTTTGGAAGACTTAATGTGAAGAAATAGTAAAACAAAATAAAATCTCTGCAAAGTAACCTCTTTGCATCGGTCATATGTTTATATTCATTCACAGTGGTGAATGTGGCATAAGGTAAACGTATCCTGCAATCTTAAAAGTATGATTAGGTTAGGTTTTGTATTCTTGAACAGTTATTTTCCTGATATATTTATAGTAATATGCTTTTCCACTTCCTCATCTGGCAGTTGTTTAGTAACCTAGAGTAAAAGTATAATGTGAATAGATGCAGTAAACACATTCATGTTAACTCTGTAATATATGATATCCTAAAACTAAAGTGTTTTCTCTTGGATTTGGACATGAATTTGAAAGATCAGTTAAGCGAGAGTATCTAAATTACTTGGCTAAGTGGTCTAACTTTACGTAACTAAATTACTTACAATCATATTTATGTAAAAACATGTTGCTATCCATTCAGACAAAAGCATAATAGATCCTTGATATATTATTGGGGCCTTTATTGGTATATCATCCAATGTTTTAATTTGGATTCCTGCATTTGATAGCCAAAATTATCCCTTCTAAACTGCACTGTGATTTGAAATGTTTTTTTCCTAACCAATGTGTCCAGATTCAGGGATCTGGTGATCTGCATTTGGATCATGTACTAGAATTTACCATCATTACTACTGCTTAGGAAGGACTATGTTTGTTATAAATTTTCATTTTAAAAATTACATTCATTTAATATTCAGTGGAATGTGATATTAGTTCATAAAGTTTATAGAGGTTTACTTCTGAATCAACACTGTCTTCTATTGAATACCTTGCTCAGCATCTATATATTGTTAACGTAAGCATTACACACAATATGTATTTGTTTTGGGATCTAGAGCTCCAAACACTTTTGTTTAGATCTTTATTTGTTAGATTGAATTCTAATTTGTTCCATATATTGGAACTTGTCATTGGACAGTATCTGGATGCAGATTTCTCATCTTTTGTATAAAGCAGAGTAACTGCCTCCATAAGGTTTATCAAAATCATATGAACAAATATGCAGGTGTCTTCCAGATCTTATCTGGCCCATGTAATCAATGGTCAGGCAAGCTGGGAGTTGCAGTCCAAAATGTAAGAAAGGTATCAGGTTGCTGCCCTTGCTCTATTCCAGCCTTCCCCATGTTGGACCCCCTTCAGATGCATGGATTCCAAGCATGATAACACTTAGATTGTGAAGGTTGTTTCAGACAGTGGTCCCCAACCTTTCTTGCTCTACGGACTGGCAGCAGCGGTGGCGGTAGCAGGGAGGGAGGGAATGGTTTTGCATGCATGCCTGCTTAGGCAAATGGACCTTCGCGTGCTTATCTGCCGCTTGTGTGGCCTGGTTCCCAATGGGCTGGTACAGGGCCATGGTCCAGGAGTTGGGGATCCCAGTCTAAGGTATTGCCTACACAGCAAGAGTATAATTAACCTAATGAATAATGCATAGTAAAGTACCTTGATATATAATTCTAAAATTTTTTACTGTATTGTTCTCTGCAGGTGGGAAGTGACACACATTCTCAACCTGCAAGACAAAGGCAGCGACATCAGGGCCTCTTCTTGAAATGGAAGCTTGTTAAAATCTCCCTGGATGTCCTTCAGCTAAACAAGCATATAAGGAGTATGTCTAAGGGTATCAAATTTTACCCTGATGTCACTGCTAAAGACATTGAACCATAAAGACAATCACTGCCATGTCCCTTCACCATCACAGAATTCCGAGCCCAACTCAAAAAGGAGAGCCAAGAGTAGCATTTCAGATCTTCCCCCTTTTTATCTCCACTCCGCCTTACACTCCTCCATTTGTATCTGCTATGTTCTCATTGCCGAGTCAGCAACAAAATAGCTCAGCTGTATTCATTTTGCTTTAATCAAAAGAATGATATAAGCCAGCAGCAGCAGCAGCAGCAGCAGTTTCCATCTTGCCCGTTCACACTGAAGGAACAAAATTAATTTCTTAAGGAAGATATTACCGGGTTTATTTAATGGTGCAAGAGGATGAATCTTGGTTTTCAGATTCTAAAGATAAACTTGAATGCTTCTATATTTTAGTTATTGCCTTGGTGTACATTTTTATTGACTTTGAGATTTTAAAGAAGCATTGAAATGCCCTCCCCAATGTTTTTTAAGGTTTTTAAATAATGCTAGATTTCTTTTTTCCTGTTGGAGAAGAACAAAGCATTTGGAGGATAAAGCCCTTTTATTTCTGAATTAACTATTTGTAACAGATAAAATCATTGTATACGTACACTAAACATGTGATCCACTTCATCTCTCTATACGTGTAAAAGCAACATACCTTATTGGATCTGTTTTCAGTAAACTCTCCTACTCACATATCTGAATTTCCTTGGTTTTTTTTTAAAGCCCAGCACTTGGATTATTATTACTTCGAATGTTCTGTATTTGTATCTGTTTCTGTTAGCCTGTTTAGTGGGATTTTATGCCAGTTGTTGAAATGAACATTGATGTACCCAATTTTTTTTAGTTTAAGGCAAAGCCTTTGCCAAAAAAAAATGGACAACCAATATATATTTTGTCATTCCAATTTGAGTTAATGTGATCATTTTTGTTGTTGTTTTCATGTTTTTTTTTTAAATAAAAGCTTTGTAATAAAATTACAAAATACTTATTTTTTGGGCTTGGTTAAAGTTAAATTGTTTGGTTCACTTTGTTTCATATTGTAGTTTCAGTGGAACCAGATGAAGTTAATTTGGTGGCATGTCTGCTCTTTGAAAATATGTTATGTCCACATAGCAGGGAAAAAAAATGCAATCCAATATTTTATTGATGAAAATTATCCTTCTGAATTCAAAGGAGCCCCCCCTTACTCTGCCTGCTTATATGAGAAATAGACACATCTAAGTAAAAACAAAAAGAAATAGCAATGGCAGATTTAGAGAAAAATAACTCTTGACACTAAACTTAATAATTCTGAAAAGGCCTGTGTTAACTGAGTAATTGAAGACTGCATTCTTCTGCACACTCATGGAAAGACCATGAACCTTCTGCCAGACATGGCTTGCCTTTATGTCTTTGTTGTTTAAAATTGATCCAACTTGTAACTTCTGGATTCTACTCTATTATATGATGGCCAGTTCTATGTCATTAGGTAACTTCCACTTTTAAATAATAAGTTAACCAGGCTTCTAGGTTTATCATGCACATTACCAAGCATTTACATAGTAGCTATTTTTTTCAAGAGCCTTCTGGGAGATTATAGAGCAGTGTTTCTTCTTCTTATGTCTACGGAGATTCTCAATCATCCAGGTCACGGTTGTCTCAAAGATGCTTTTCCAAAAGGCATCTTCTTTGGAAATATTTCTCTTCTCATTCAACTGGGCTTTCTTGGCTTCTTGTTTGAAAACACTGTGCTGCTTATCCAAAAAGCTTTTCAGTTCTGAAGAAGCTTCTTGGATAAGCATCAAAACATTTTCAAAGAAGAAACTAAGCAAGCCAGGTTGCCTTTTAGAAAGGCACCTATAGGGTTTTTTTATCCTTAACAACTTTAATGTGTGTGGACTTGAATACTCTCAATACTTGGGGAGCTTGAGTTGAAATCCACATATCTTATAATCGAGATGTGTCACTATAGAGCAGACATGTCAAACACAAGGCCCGGGGGCCGGATGCAGCCCGCGAAGAGGTTTCATGGGGCCTGCGAAGCCATCCTGGAAACAGTGAGGGAACGGCCCCTGCCGCTGCTTTGGCCCAGGCCCAGGTCAGCCGAGAGCCAATGTACAATTTTGTGGTGGCCCTCTATGCTGAAACACATTCAGTCTTAGATCCACAAGGCCGTCTACAAACAGTGAGGAACCAGCCCCTGCTGTGTCAGCCCCACCCCCTGGGTGCATGCTGGGGAGGTGTCACCCTTTGTGAGGAATGGACCATGCCTTGGCACTTGCCCCAGTCCCACCCCCTTCTACCAGAAACCTTCAGATCTGTCTCACTCCTGCCCAAGCCCCCACAGGCACCCTTGACCTGAATGATGTAGAGCTGGTCACACCCATCTAGTAGGCCACACCCACTCTATCCACACCCACCCTGGCCACACCCACCCAGCCCCCCCCAAGGGCAACCACAATGCTGATGCGGCCCTCAATGAAATTTGAGTTTGACACCCCTGCTATAGAGAAAAGGGCTATTGTTTTGTAGGAAGCTTTATCTAGAATAGATGTTACTGAGTTTTTGTGGGCTGAATAATGAGTTATGTCTTATTAGTGAAGGGTTTAAATGGGTGACACTTGACAATCTTCATAATAAACATTGGGTGAACAAGCAGTTAACATAGGGAATGATAGTTAAATCCAGTTGTTGCAAAAGTTCCATGTTGCAAAAGTTCTGACTGACTGACTTTATAAGATTCCAAACAGAGACATGCATGTTTGTTTCATTTACTTTAAAGGTGCATAACTTGAGATAAAGGGCTGCTTATGGTCTTCATTGTTGGCCCCAGAAACCCCCAAAGTACTCAGTTGTAATTTTCAATGTAGAGTTTACTATATTCATTTTTATGTAACCTTAAATTGTTTGTACTGCACTTACCCATTACTTTGCAGAATACAGGTCCTTAGAGATAATAGTGCATCTCCCAACACAAGTGGACTTTAAGCCAGGGGTAAGGCAACCTTGGCTCTTTTATGACTCATGGATGTCAGGAATTCTGGGAGTTGAAGTCCATGAGTCATAAAAGAGTCAAGGTTGCCTACCCCTGCTCTAAGCCCTCCCACTGAACCTTTAACTTTTGATGTATTCTTTTTCAAACAAAAGGTTACTCTTTAAAAAGGACAGTGGATCAAGCATTTTTTTTTAAAATTTGAATTTAAATTAAATTGATGAATATGGTTCCTTCCTAGGTTACTTAATTATTTCTCTTTTCTGGAATTATATTTCACTGGAATTTCTGGAGTTATGCTGGGAACGTCTGATGAGCATTTTCATTGCTCCTACATGCTGTTATTTTCACAGTGGCACAACTGATTTTCAACTGAAGGCCTATGAACTATAGATGCTTGATAAGCTTCTCAGTCTACAGCTGCATGTCTCTGGGGCTCTTTAGTGAAGTTCAAATATGCATCGTCTCTGTCTGTTCTTGCATTTTAAGTTATGCTGCAGTGTGGATTTACTGGCAAATAAATGCCTTGCAGCTTTCAAATTACCTTTGCAGAAAGAAGATATAATGTTTTTAAATATTTGTACATATTACAAGTTTCCCTTATTCAACTTCTCTTTTTGTTGTTAGGGCACAGTACTGAGAACTGCAGGTAATGACTCAACCCGACAACTCCACCAATAGACTTAATCTTGATTTATCATTTCTTTGTAATATGAGCAACTTCCAGGGAGTTGAGCAGTACACATGCTTGACCTTAGAAAAGAACATTGCATAGTACATATATGGGATCAGTCTTCAACAATACCCATTAATATAGCCCCATCCTCTAACCAGGGGTCCCTAATCCCTGGGCTGCAGACGGATCGCGGTCTGCAGCCTATTGGGAACTGAGCAGTGTAAAGGGCAGGCATGTGTGCAAAATTTCATTTGTGCATGCATGAGAGCTCCCCTTCCCCCCCCCACACACACCCGCTGCTGCCCCCACCACTGCTGCCAGTCCATGGAGCTAGAAAGGTTGGGGACCATTGCTGTAAACAGTTCCTCCTTATGGCATTTTATTCTTTGCAGTGTCCTGAATGACTGCACTGTTTTCCTGTCTGCCGTTCTATGCAAAAAAGAGGACCAAGAGAACGAAATGAGACAATGTTCTAAGTTCTAACCAGTACTATTTTGAGTGTATTCCGCTCTAAGTAGCTAATACCAGTTTTGCTTCAATAAATATGATTTGCTATTTGACAAAAGCCCAGCCACACTAAGAGATTCATACAAATTCAGTACTTAGTATTTAGCATCATGTCTTATTTTTTATTTAAGTCAAGATTTTCCTAATTTAAATCCTCATTAAGACACTCCAAGGATTCTGATGAGCACATCAGAACAAGGAACTGAAGGCAGGTTCTCAATCATTAAGGGCAATGCTATTGTTCTGTCCTATTACAGAACATTATTAATTAGATTTATAACCTGAATTTTTCTCCATAAGTTCAAGTGGCAAAAATAGCTTTCCATCTTTCCTTTCTACTCATCCCAAAACCCTGTGAGCGATTTTCCATCGCTACAGATAGATACAACTTGGTATTTCCTGTTGCTAGCTCAATGACTTAACCACTGCATCATATTGATTTTCAATATCACAACACTTCCTACATTTTAAGGTAGGAAGACACAGACATGCAAATTTATTGATATGCAAAGGCATAAAAGGAGGGGGAGAATATATGGTATATATGCTGAATCTAGCTGTATCCTAATCTAAATGAGTATAATAAAGTGCTATTGGCTGAAATGGAAAATGTTAATTCATACTCTGCTTTCACACTGCCATCTACTGGGGGGGAAATCAAAGCAACTATATATTTGAAGTATTTTATTCATATTAAAATTTCTACTAGCTGGATGGAGGATTACAAACCTGAGGTGTATTTGGATCCGTGGTAGTTTCAAAAAAGGCACTTCAATGTGTAAAGCTCCCAATAAATCCCAGTGACTTAAAAATATAAGACCACATTGTGGAAATAAATTGCTCAGCCTTTATAATCAAGATACAGCACTGACTAGTTCTTATGGCCCTGATTAAGCAGTATTACAAATACTGTATGGAAATACTCAGCAGCTTTCCTTACACGTGTCAGAAAAACATGGCACGTTGGAAAGTTCATTTGTATTTGTAAAATCCTTCGCCAGTCTTCCTTCCAAGTTTCTTCTCCTCTACCAACTGATTTAGAAGTTGGCTTGGAGCAAAGAGAGGATTGTCCGGTTCCAATGCATGCCACCCTAATTGGGGAGAGGCAAAAAATTCAGGCATTAAGTTAATACCTTAATCCAGTGATGGCGAACCTTTTAGAGACTGAGTGCTCAAACTGAAACCCAAAACCCACTTATGGATTGTCAAGTGCTGGGTGGGTGTGGCCAATTGGGTGGGTGTGGCTGCAGTGGTAACGGCAGACTGGGTGGAACTAAAAAGTTCAATCAATCAATTCCAACTTTGCAAGATCTTTTTTCTTTCCCGTGAGAAGTTGAAATTGACTGATTGAACCTTTTTTTTTTTTTTTTTGCACATGGTGGCGGAGGCCTAAAGCGGAAAGGTTTTATAAAACCCAGCTGAAGGCCTAGGACTGCGGCAACGGCGCGCGTGCCCACAGAGAGGGCTCTGAGTGCCACCTCTGGCACCCGTGCCATAGGTTCGTCACCACTGCCTTAATCTGATAATGTATCACAGATATTTATAGTTTTCTTCATTCACAACTAATTACATTTTTTAATGTAGCAATAAAGCTGGCTCCCATATTTGTATTCGGAGAAACAAGAGAATTTCAATTCAAATCTTGCAACCCTTTTAAATAAGACTATTTTCAAGTTGTTGGCTAGGATAAAACTTAATCCTGTAGAGACAAATTGGGAAGTCAAAATGATAAAGAGAGCGATTTTTAGGGTAGGAATTGGATCATTAATTTTTCCTCAATTTTTCTGGGAATTTTACATATATCAAATCTCAGATTATTCATAATACTCTTAAAAATACAAGAAGTGGAAAAAACTCATAGGGGCTTTCATGTTTTTAGGTTCTATTGTTTTGACCAGTCAATCCTGCCTGCCCCTTACTGTTGGTTCCACCATTATAGAAACAATGTCAGAATAGTGAGCATAGACAAACTGATCACACTTGTTGCATTAGGGCAGGGTTTTTCAACCTTTTCAGAGATTTTAGGATATGGCAATATCCAGTCGCCTAGCAGGTGGGTGTGGCCTGCTCGACGCCACTCACTGGACACAGCTGACTCAAGACAGCTGTATCGGAACAGAACAAGTCGCACCGGCTAACTCGATGTGGGGACAACTCAGTACCCCACAAACACCTCACCTCCCCAAACTGCTAGCAGCCAAGCACATGCGCATGCACACACACATCACATTCCAGGTTTGGGAACTTTTATCCACAGAGTAAGGAGAGGGCCTTCTCCTCAAGCCCAAGCAATTTGCTAGCTCAGTTTTGGATACAAGTCTCCAAGCTTGGAATGTCTCTCTGTGCGTGTGTATAGCACCCTAAAGAGATGTTCTTTTCACAATCCCAGACATCGTTGGTGTTTCCCTGTCCGGTGCCCCCTCCTGGCAAAGCAGGAAGCAGTTTCCTCCTAGTCCAGTGGTTCTCAACCTGTGGGTCAAGACCCCATTTGGGGTTGAACGACCATTTCACGGGGGTCGCCAAACAACGCAGTCCGCCATTTTTTCCCCCCTTTTCCTTAGCTGTGCTACTCCCTTTTATTCTATTGGCTTTTGAAAGCCAATAGAATAGACTCTCTTGAATAGAGTCTAATTCTATTTCAAAAGCTAATAAGAATTGTCCAGGCTGTCTCTGCCCTGCTGAACCCGCCAAAAGTCCCATTCTGCAAACGGTGCTGCACCAGTTGAGTAGTCCTCGGCTTACGACCAGTTGAGTAGTCCTCGACTTACAACCGGTTGGGGGTCGCGGCATTAAAAAGGTTGAGAACCACTGTCCTAGTCCAACTTCTGTCTTGACAGATCTCTGGAGAGCAAGAGGAGGCAACAGGGGAGCAGCACTTCCGGGTCCTGCACAAAGGAGGCCGGCCCTTCTCGAAAGCGAATTCCCATTTCCAATCATGCGTGGTAAGGATGCTGGCTTGTTGGGGCAGCCTTCCCTCACACAGTTTCCCTGCCACCCCCTCCTCCTCTCCAGAGATCTGCAGGGGAGACAGAGCTCTGGAGGGCAAAGTGCAGCCTCCATATTGGCCACTTCTACCTCTCCAAGCCCTCCTCAATTAAACATACATTATATATAAATTAAAACATAGCCAAAAAGAAAACATAGTTAAATCACTAATTACAGCTCTTCACATATTTTCTGGAAAAACCACCTTTATTGATGTTAGGAAGAGCAAACCTTACGTATTAAGGAGCTCTTAACAGGAAGGGAATGGAAGATCCCCAAAAGTTCTTGTTCTTTCTAATCTGCCTTCCCTTTGAGCCTTTAGTTCTCGTTATTTTATTATTATGTATTTAAGGAGATCAAAGGCCTCTGTAGCTCAGGATACTCACTTTAAAATCAGAACCTAGAAAAATGTAGTTAATCCACAATACGCCCTATGAAGAATGAAGATAATCTTTGGGCCCTGAGAGCATGCAGGTGTCAAGTCAGAATATTAGTGGCACACCTGTCAGCAACTGGAAGTGCATAAGTCCATGTACTTCCCTTTCCTGTCTCACAACTCAGTCCATACATCCTTTAATTTTCAGACACATCTTTTTCTCATAAGCTCCTTTAAAAACCAACAAGGTATACTGTAATTAGCAGGAAAAATAAATCTAGCACTTCTGAATTCTTTCCCCAAGGGGGAAAGTTCACAGCCTGCAGGTTGCTAGCAAAGTCGTCAAAGAACGTAGTTATTGCTGCTAAAGAGAAGAATAAATAACGAATCAATTTTGCAGCTCTCTCCTGTTACTACATCCTCTTACCTCCAGAATGTGGCCTGGGACTGCACAAGGGGCTGGGATAAAATCCGGTTGAGTAGTTTGCAGCCAGGTGTTCAGTACAGACCTTGCCAAGGTGATTTTAATAGCCCAGGAAGGGATAGGAAAATCCAAGGAAAACTTTGCAATCAATAAACCATGGTGGACTATGCTTGTTTTGCCCTATTTTGATTCTCCTCCCCAGCAGCAACCCATCGATTTTAGAACTGCATGGCCACAAAGATAGAGGCCTTCAGCCTCCCAATCCCTGCTTAGAGAAGGATTTGCAATTCGGCCAGAGTCAGGCCATACACCCCCAAAGGAAAACCCTGAATCCAGCGGGCCAGAAGGCAGCCCAGCTATCGCACCCTCCAGCTCCTTCTCCTTGGCCCCAGGGCACAGATGCCATTGCTGCTCCTCGACATAGCTGGGCAGGACTTGCAAGTACCTCTGTCCGCTTTGTCCTGCAAAGCAGTGCTCACCCAGCATTCCCGACCAAGGAAGGGGGCAGCAGCCAAGACTACAGAAGATTTGCAGCTTGTCAGGGGCGCTCAGAGGCTGCCCAACTTCACTGCGGAATTTTGGGGTTGAAAAACGGAGGGGCAGCGCCACATTTGCAGGCCTGGCAGCACCTGCTGGAAAGCCTCCTGCTCCTCCTCCCTCCCCCCCCCGCAGCTACCTCCTTCGGAGCTGTCCTGATCCTGATGGGCCTGCCAGCATAGATCCGCCCACTTCGTCCTGCAAAACGTGGTTCACCTGGCATCTCCCATTCTCACACATGTCCCTCCAATATCCTCCCCATTCTCACACACATTCCTTCAAAATCCTCCCTCCCTCTCTCTCTCTCTGCTTCTCTGAAAAAAGCCTTTTCTCTTCTGCCTCTTTCTCTGGAGTCTTTTCTTCTCTCCCTCTCCTGCCCAAACTGCCTCCTTTTATAGCCTCTCCTGTCTCTACCACCCTCCTCCTCCTCCTTTCTCTTCCAGGTGTGCCAGAAGTGCCGATCCTGGGGCCTTTGTCTTGCCCCAGCAGCCCTGCAGCTCCTGAGGGCTCTCTCACGACAAGTCCGGCGCTGTGCTGCTTTGGCTCATTCCCTCCCCCGCTACACTTGGCTGGGCTGGGCAGGGCCGCGTACCACCTGACAGGTGCCAATGTACCACTAGTGGTTGAAAATCCCTGCATTAGGGCACTGTGTGAAACATCGCCATCAAAACATTTTTCCCCGCATGACTGTTTTTAGGTTTTCAAACAGAACTTATGATATACATACCATCCATAATGAATTTACTGGTATCTAAGCCAACATAGTCTAAGAGTTCAAATGGGCCCATAGGATAACTTGCCCCAAGTTTCATGGCAACATCAATATCTTCCTTTGATGCATCTCCTAGACAAAAGATTGACATTTGAATTGGCAGAGTTCTATCTCTCTTCTTTCATTCATTTATTTTATTACCAATCAAATTTATATAGCTGTAACAGTGACTCTGGTTGGTGAACAAGAATCAAATTTATAGCATTACATAACACAACACAACCTATAAACCTGGTGCTCCTTATTGTAGACAGCATCAAAATTCTAGTAAATCAGCAGTTTTCCAGAAGTCAGTGTTGACTAAGGCATTGCACGATTATATCACTAAATTCCCAAAACTGTGGTCCAGAGAAGCACCCAATGGAGAAGCTTTCAAATATCCATACTTCAAAATGGCTTCTTTTTGAGTATATTTACCTAGCTACCTAGCAGTGTCTCTAAGGAATAAGTCTCATGCATTCCAAGGGCAAGCGTAACAGTCACCAAAAAAGTGAGAATTACACAGAAACACACTTCTAGTCTGGAGTTCACTACATACACTAAATCATCCAATGACAACTACATGGCTGATCTACAAAACCAAATAATACATATTTTTTCCAGGTCCAACAGCTTGGGGCTTTGTCCTGTGAATAATGGAGATATATTAACTGTATTTACTTTATCATAAGCATTTTTGTTCTTTTTTAATGTTAACCTTCTCATATTTTACCAAATGTTAGCAGCACGTGGCCCACAAGTTTTCTAACTCAGTGAAGAAAATGTTCTCAGCAAAGTGAAATTTTGGAAAACAGCCTGTGAGAGCTTTTATCTATTCCACATTTGGAGGGGGCAGAAGAAAACCACATTAAACCATAAAACATTGCCAGTGTAGTCTGACAATTAAAACTTTATTTTTTAAAAAGATGTTATTTGATTTAACATTTAGGATTTATATTTATAAAGGAAATAAATTAGTTATTCAAATAATTGTTTTAAATTACAAATGGAAGATGGACTTAGAGAATAAAAGTTATTTTATGAGTAAGCAATATTAGAATGAGAATTAGAATATGACTGTGAAATAAACTGGAATAAATAATAAGTATATTTTAGACATGATATTATTTTGCATAAACTAAGGGAACCGTGGGTTATCCGAAACTTAAATATTATTGGACACTAAGCCAACTGGAATATTGTAATTGAAACCAGACAAAAGTCAAAAACAGGACTTGGAGACATATAATTTAAAAGTTGTTTATAAATGTTTTAAATGATTGAGTTATAACTAGCAATTTATTAATGTGAATTTGGTATAAAAACTAAGGAAAACAGAGAGGAAATTTTTGATGATGTAAACTGATATATGTATGGATAAGCGTGTTATTAGACTATGTATTATGCAACCACCATGTTGCTTCCTTAAATACCTGAAGCTTTGTAAAAATGGAAAATTAATAAAACTTGTTTTTTTTAAAAAAAAAACAAGTTTATTTTAATTAGATGCTATTCTGTTTCTTATAGCAATCATTTGAATATATGTGTTTCAATTCCCTCTTACAAAGTATTTAAAGTCTAAACAATAGCTGGATGCAAGGAATACCATTACATGAAGCTCAATAAATTAAAAAGTTTCAAATCAGAAAATAAACCCACCAGTTAGTTGATTAAATTTGGAATACATCATTTTGTTGAAGTATTTTATATGGCAATATTTTAGAGAAAATGTTTTTTATACAATATTATCCTCTGCTTTAAAAAAAATTACTAATTTCTTATGCTGCCTTTGAGGAGTTATTAGCAATATTTATTGATGGATAAGCAAGAAATACAGATAATCTTGCTTCACAAGCTGAAAACACTTATAAGATCTACAAAGGAAGCATTTAATATCTAAAATATATTTACAGGATCTTGATAATGGAAGTCTTTCATCTGCAAAGAGAGGAAAGGCTGCCTTCCAAACAAAATGTTTGAAATAATATTCTTAATAGCAGACAGTCATAAAAGGGAGCTTAATCCTGAAGAGTTACAGAGAGGAAAGTTCTCTTTAGCTCTTTATATAGCAGCCATCCTTGCTTTGAAGAACACACGGCTTACTTTAAGAGTTAACTGGCTCTAAGGTTTGAAAGAAAAGGACAATAATTATCCTTATTATCCCGTATTTCCATCAACATGGCAACAAACAGCACACATCTCCCCCATCCGGGCTGCTCTCCAGGTGTGTGGACTTCAGCTCATGTAATTCCACATAATCCACTCATTGCCCTGCTGGTCATTGATGGCCAAACATCTGGAGGGCATTAAAATTGCAGTAAGTTGAGTAAAAATTCATCTATACTTAGGAATCCTCCCATTTTTCCCAAAAGACATTCCTCAAGGCAGTTTTGTAGTAATTTTGGAATCAAGTCATGGGGAGCCAGATTAAAATAACTACGACCTTTGTTCTATTCTGGTTTATTTGATATCAATTAAGTTATTCCAGGGGTTAGAAACTCCAGCCATCCTTTTGTTTGTATGCTCACAATCTCACTGGGTTCAGCACGTTCAGGTCAATCTCTTGCAAGATGAAATCTCACAAGGTTTGATGGTTTTACAAGATTTTATCTTTAAAGAAGGGGAAAGATCTATGGCCCTTCACAGAGAGTATTACACCCACTAATTAGCAAAAGCCCTGGTTATTTCATAGCCCTGCTCAGAAATATCACAACCTGACGTACAGGTAGTTCTCGACTTATGATCACAATTGCGCCCATTTCATTTGCTAAGCAAAACATTTGTTTTCCCCCATTTTGCAACCTTTCTTGTCACGGTTGTTAAGTGAATCTCTGCAGCTGTTAAATTAGTAACATCGTTGTTAAGTGAATCTGGCCTCCCCATTGACTTTGCTTGTCAGGTCGCAAAAGCTGATCACATGACCCCAGTGACATTTATAACACTGCAATCATCATAAATATGAGTCAGTTGCCAAGCGTTAAAATTCTGATCACGTGACTATGGGCATGCTGCAAGGGTTGTGTGAAAAAAAAGTCACGTTTTTCACTGCCGTCGTAACTTGGAACAGTTACTAAATGAACTGTTGTATGCCGAGGACTACCTGTACTGCACATTAAACACATGTAATACTTCTAGAATATTAACCTTATTGTCATTAACTTTAATTAATTATTCTGTTAGTCTGTTAATTGTTTTTAAGTTTAAGTGTTGTTATTAATCTTAATATTAACTTTGTTAATAATCAGTTGCAGTGTTGATTTTTATATAGTAGTTTCTAGTCCACATTATTTGGCAAACACTTCAAAAATTCTAAAAGGACCGAACAAGTAAAAGGAACTTAAGTGTAATTTAGGGACACTTAGTGTTTCCAAAATAAAAATCAGGGTTTCTTTCTTTACTATTACAGAGGTAGCTTTACTAGCATAGTGATAGGCCAATAACAGTTTTGAGCTGTTCAGACATAGCTGATTCAGGTTCTTTTGAGTTCAAATTTTATATACTTTTTTTTTTAAAAAAATAGCTTTGAGAAAAAACTTCATTCAGATTGCACCTATAATTTCAACATGGATTTTTCTAGTGACATTAAAATGCTAATTACACTTCCAATTCCAGCGATAAGCACCAGAATGTAATTTATTTCCCTAATGTCACAAGATACTTTTGGAAATGGGAGATGGAGAAGGCTTTTATTTTTAAAAAAAAAACCAAAAAAACAGAAGATACAGGACACACATTATCCTATATAATACAATTGGCTGGAAGGATATGAAATGAATTTTTTGCACTCATTGTCATTTAAACAGAAATTTGGGGATGTGCATGAAATGGAAAAATGTTATTTTGCCAAGCAATTCTGTGTGTGCTGCTGCTCGGCAGAAACAAAACCAGAAACATTTTGATTGTTCCAGATTTGTGTCAATGTCTTTGCTTCAAATGTGGCAACACCTCCAACTGGCTGCCTCCCCTATTCAGAACCTTCCCAGTGCCTCCCCTCAAGAAAGATTCTGGCAGGGGCAGGATGGCAGAGATAGCTCAAGGGAGGCAGGGAACGGAAGTGCTGGGAAGATCAGGGAAGTGGATGGGTTGGTTATGATGCCCTTGAAGACAAGGGTTTTGACAATGATAGCTACAGAAAGATAGGAAAAGTAAAGAGATGGAAAGATGGAGGGGGCTGGTCTTCTGTTGCCAGCCTAGGCTTTTCCCAGTTCTTCTCCAATAATACACCTCTGCCTGGAACATGCATATTTTGGTCCACTGCCATACTAAGTAACTTTTGTTTGGAAATAGAGGAGCATGTTATGTTTCGTTCAGTTACACTAGAAACAATACAGTTCATGTTACATGAACTAGAGAGCTCTCTGAAGGGTCTGTTTGTGTGAAAACAGTGGAAGACTCCTAAATAAGGTAGCTTCACTCTAGGATTCTTCCCAGAGGAAGGGCTTTGCAAAGACCTCCTCAGTTTGGACTACTGTGGGTGAAAAACATGACAATATGGAGAGTACCAACTTATCACGGGATAGAATAGTTTGTGGTCCTCTTATATCCAAAAACTATTACTATCTCCTCCAGAAGATTATTAATTATTATTATTATTTTGTACTGGATCAGTATCTAAGTGGAGGGGTACCTCATGTTGTCCAAGATACCCCAAAAATCCTTAAAATAATCTTACAAAGTCTGAAATCTTGGGAAATGGCCAAATGTCACTTGATCTGGCCTTTTTTATTCTTAGGAAAGGACCTTTTTTATTTAGATATTTGTATCCCACCTTTATTACTTTGACAAATAACTAGAGGCACATCTTCTTCCTCCACTTTTCCCCACCAGAACAACTCAGCGAGGAGGGTTGGGCTGAGAAAGAGAATGACTGACGTAAAGTCATAACTGGACATGGAAGAGAAGGAAGTGAAAAGAGGCAGCAGGCACAAGAAAAGCCTGCTCAACTGAACTCTTTAATTTCACTAGAACAGAGGTAGGCAACCTTGGCTCTTTTATGACTCGTGGACTTCAACTCCCAGAGTTCCGTAGCTAGCCATGCTGGCTCAGGAATTCTGGGAGTTGAAGTCCACGAGTCATAAAAGAGCCAAGGTTGCCTACCCCTGCACTAGAACCTAAGTTAGCTATCAGATTAAAAAAACAAGCAAACAGGCAAACTGGGGACTGTAGTCCCAAATACTGGTGGAGATGTACATACAGATTGAGTATTTTCTACATTACCCCTTTCAAAAAGCCGAACTGCTTCCATCAGGTAAGGCACAAGAAGTCGATTCACAACAAAGCCAGGAGTGTCCTATGTAAAAAAACACACACACACACACACACACAACAGGGTTGATGGTAAAATACATCATTATTACAATATAAGTATTACTGACAGTCCCCATTTTAAGATCCTTCATTCAATGATATTCAAAGTTGTGTTATTTTTGCCAAGCTCTTGCTGAATGAATGGTACCGTGTTTCCCCTGTCTTACTTTCTTTTGGGCTCTGAAGTAAGCATGGTATTTTACTTTCGGGGAGGGCTTACTTTTTGCCGGTTCGGGCACCAGTAGGCCACGAGCGCATGGGGGTGGGGTAGGGCCTGTGCAGATACCTGCCGAAGCTGTGCAGGGTAAGATTGCCACACCCGCCCCCGTTTAGATGCCCTCGCCTCCCCCAAGTGTTTTTTTACTAACCTGCCTTTCAGCTGCATTCCGTTTCTCTGTTCGCTTCTCAGCCTTCACCGCGTGTTTGTGGGACAAAAAATAAAAGTTCAATCAGAATTTCTAACGTCTCATGAGATCTCAAGAAGTTAGAAAGTCTACACAAAAAAGCGGTGAAGGCAGAGAAGCAAACGGAAAAACGGAATGCAGCTGAAACGCAGGCTAGTAAAAAACTGCTTGGGGGAGGTGAGGCATCTTGATGGGGTGGGGGTGGCAACCTTATCCTGCGCAGTGGTGGGAGGGTGGGGCGCATGCCCTTCCTGTGCCAGGCCAGTCCCTGCAGCCCCGGGGCGGCCATGCTGGGTGGTGGTGGGCAGGATGTTGAGGTCGGGGATGCGAAGTTGGAATTGAACTTCCCCCCCCCCCAAAAAAAAACCTTCATTTCCCTGCATGTGGTGGCAGCGGTTCACAAAGGAGAAACAGCACGGGGCTGGAAGTCAGGTAAGCAAAGAAAGGCAATTCCTGGGGGGAGTGAGGATTTCTTTCCTTACCTGCCCCACTTGTTCCGTGGCCGCTTTCAGCCAAGCCGCGTTGCTCTTGCCAATGCTCTGCCCACTGTCCCTCCCCGAGCCTCCAGCGCTTCACCTGCCGCTTTGGTGGCTCTGTAGGAAGAGCTGCAAACTTCTCTTCTCTAAGAGAGAAGAGAATGGGCAGGTAAGGGGGGAACCTGCCCCACTGGTTCTGCGGTTGCTTTTGGCTGAGTCGCATTGCTCTCGCCAATGGCGCAGCCATGAGGCCGCGGAACAAGCCGAGCGGCAGTAGGGAACCGGTATAATGGCATGTGGCTCAGAAGGGGAGATGATCCGCCAGGCCTCATGGCAGCAGCATTTAATTTTGGGAAAACACGGTAATTATTGACAGTTCTTGGTTACAGTTGTTGCAGCACCCTCTGCTGATCAAAATTTGGGTGCTTGACAGTCCGACCTCATTTACAGGTATAGTATGTACTTTAGCTCTCCTCATCCACTTATCTCTCTCTCCCATGTCTGTCCTTTTGGCAGTCCTACACTCTGACTGCCTACCCCTGTCATCTCCCACCCCATCTCTGGACTCCTGAAAAGGCTGGGCACACCTCCAAAGCAGTAGGAGGAGGAAGACTAAGAAAGTCAGCTGTGGAGAGCAGAGGGTAGTAATGATAGGCAGTGGAGGTGGAGTGCAGGGGGAGATAGATGCGGTCAGAACTGAAACAGCAGGAAATGGGCAGGAGTGGGTGGTAGGTCAGGAGAAGCAGGAGGTCCTCTGTCAGGTCCCCAAATCCTTATTGTCTCCTCTCCATCTATATATTCTTTGCTTTAGCTGGGGGGAAGGGGGATATTTGCTTTCACTTGGGATAACTTTCACTTTCTGCTTTCTTTCTTCCACCTCTATCCGCTTGAGAAAGGAATGTGTCTCTCTTATCAGGGAGATGGTTATAGAGAATCGAAAGCTGGAGAAGACCTTGAGATGCACACCAACTGTACCAGTTACCCGCTCATTCAAACGGACACTATGACTTTGGTGGGAGGAGGAATATTGCTGATTTAATTACACCAAGTGGGATTTTCTCCAGATCTCGACTTGACTTCCCTATTGTCACTAAACCTTAAGAAAAGTTTCCTTTTGAGACAATGCCTGTTTCAAGAGTTCTGCTTTCTTGGGTGATTAGCCGAGGTGGGTCCTTATATCCTCACTTAACAATAGTGTGGTCCTTGACTAACAACCATAATTGGGACTACCAAAACTGCCACTGCTAAGTGATATAGTCATATGATGTTCTGCCTAATAACCACTTTGCTTAAAGATGGACACTCCTGTCCCCATTTACATAGGACTGCCTATATAAATAAATGTTGTTACTTACTCTTTTTGTTGCATATATAATTGACTATCAACCTGCCATTACTATATATGGGAAAAAGAGGAAACAAGGCCAGGTTCATGTTGGATTGAAACCAGTGTCTTCTTAAAATATTCTATAACTATGTTATATCCCTCTTTCTTATGTTGTTGGTGGCTTAGCAAAAAAATGTGCTTTCAAACTGAGACAGAGGTGAAAAAATTCCGCAGGGTGGCCAGGTGTGACCCTACTGCACCATTATTCTTAATTTTGAGATAAACTTGCCTTGCAAGATATTGGATTTTTCCCGACTGCTCTGCTGAAATCCATGAGGGACTCAAAAGTCTTCTGGCTCGTCATCGGCGTCTTGATAACCTAGCGGCAAAGACATTATCAAAGTGTAGGGACTCTCATCAATCTAAAAATCAATTTCATATAATACCATGATGCAGGAGAGAGGTTAACCAAATCAGACTTTATTTCTTAAAATCTCAAATGGTTTAATGACAAGGAACTTCTTTTTCACCACTTCTCCAAACTATTTCAATTCTGCTGTCCATTCTCTGAACCAATTTCCATCAGAAATGAAGTATGTTAAAATGGTGTAGATTTTGCTTCAGTTCAAAAATATGCTGACTTTTTGTTTCTTTTTTAAAATTATCTTGGCATTCAATAACCCATATTGATGCCTAGTGTGCTACTATCATCTACTAAATATCTTTGTTGGTTTTAGCCAACAAACCCATGGTGGCACAGTGGTGAGAATGCAGTATTGCAAGCTAAATCTGTTCACTGCCAGAAATTCGATTCTGACTGGCTCAAGGTTGATTCCTCCTTCCATCCTTCCATGGTTGGTAAAATGAGGACCCAGATTGTTGGGGGCAATATGTTGACTGTGGACTCTGTAAATTGCTTAGAGAGGGCTGTAAAGCACTGTGAAGCGGTATATAAGTTTAAGTGCTATTGCTATTATTTTTGTGTGAGACCATTTTTTTTAAAAAAATTAAATATAGTAAAAAAACCAATAAAGATACAGTATATAACAAATCATAAGAACATATTAGGCAAAACTTATTCTTTTTATACTGTATGTCACATGAAAATGATTTCAATGATAAGCAGTACATATTTAAAAAAACAAATAAGTAAACCATTATAGAGAGAGCTATGAATAGAAGTAGGCAATATTGTTCCCCACTTCACATTTCTTCGAAAGCTCCTGTTAATACAGAAATGGATTGCTTCTCTTTGAAATATGTGCAAGGGGAATCAGACTACCAAGGGCTACTCCAAGTAGTCCTTGACTTATAACCATTTGTGTACTTATCATTCAAAGTTACAACAGCACTGAAAAAAGTGACTTATGACCTTTTTCACATGTATTTATGACAGTTGCACTGCCCCACAGTCATGTAATTGCTATTTGTAACCTTTCCAGTTGGCTTCTGCCAAGCAAAGTCAATAGGGGAAGTCAGATTTGTTTAATGACCGCATGATCTACTTATCGACCACAGCGATTTGCTTAACAACTGTGGCAAAAAAGGTTGTAAAATGGAGCAAAATTCACTTAACTGCCTTGCTTGCAGTTGGAAATTCTAGGCTGAATTGTTTTTGTAAGTCGAGGACTACCTGCAGTCTTGAATATGTATGACTTCAAAGTTTCAAGGCAATCACTGCCTCAAGTGGGGAGATACTTTTTTTTTGCTCGTGATCTGTTGCTGGGTTTCTCTTTGGTCTCTGCTTGGAAGTTGTTGGGGCAGACTCTCAAACCAAATGGCTACTTTATCTGCTCCAATGAGGAGAAATTTAATGATAGTTTTAGTCTCAATCATCTAATTAATATATTTATTTAACTTATTAATTTGCATCCCATCCTTATTATTTTTATAAATAATTCATTAATGCCTAAATAGCAGCATGCACCGAACATGGCGCAAGATTAATTTTAGAATATTATTAAGACTCCTTACCTCTACAAGCTTCATCAGAGGTACCGGGTTAAAAAAATGTAAACCCCCAAACTGATCCTGCCGGGTGGTAGCATTTGCTAAGTCCGTGACTGGCAAAGAGGAAGTGTTGCTAGCAAATATCGTGTGCCTGGGGAGAAAATAATATTCACCTTATGTTAGTTCAGTGGTTCTCAACCTTTTTAATGCCGCGACCCCCAACCAGTCGTAAGTCGAGGACTACTCAACCGGTCGTAAGTCAAGGACTACTCAACCGGTCGTAAGTCGAGGACTACTCAACTGGTGCAGCATCGTTTGCAGAATGGGACTTTTGGCGGGCTCAGCAGGGCAGAGACAGCCTGGACAATTCCTATTGGCTTTTGAAAGCCAATAGAATTAGACTCTATTCAAGAGAGTCTATTCTATTGGCTTTCAAAAGCCAATAGAATAAAAGGGAGTAGCACAGCTAAGGAAAAGGGGGAAAAAATGGTGGGCTGCGTTGTTTGGCGATCCCCGTGAAATGGTCGTTCGACCCCAAATGGGGTCCCGACCCACAGGTTGAGAACCACTGTTGGTTGCAGCTCTTCTTTCTACAAACATCTAATAACAATTTTAATTCAAAAATGTTTCCCCCCCCAATCAATTAATTATGTATCATCAAGTTCCTTTCAACTCTTAATGAGTAGTAGCCAGGGACTGATCTTCTCAGCAAAAAAAAAATTAACTTGTTCTCTCAATAGTTAAATTAAAATAATAAAGAGTACATGCACAATTTGATTTGGAGCTAATTTGGAGCTTCCCTAGTAGTAAACAATTAAGTTAGAAGGAAATGAAACCTAGCAGTGCAGGTAATGATTATTCCTTATTGATAATGGGCACGAGCAATTGATCCAAACAGAAATGAGTAATAACGTGTAAAGTAAAATGTAAAAATATTCAAATACCAATTAATAGCTGGAAGGGAAATAAAGGGAAGCAAGAGGAAAGAGACTGCTAATTTGCACTTTTGAATATTTTTGAATTTTTTTTGTTTTTTGTTTTTCAAAATACTTTATGTATGTATATATTTCTTTTTTGTTTTTGGATTTTTTGCTTGCTTTTTTCACATGAATTAAAATAGGAGAGGTTTTTTAAAAAAAATTAAAAAAAAATCAATAGTTTGATTACATTCTTTTAAAGATTATTATTGCTATTATTATATTTTATTTTTTTATTATTTAGAAATACCACACTGCACTTTATATAGATTAATAAGCAATGAATTCAGGTAGTTCTTGACTCATTTAATGATAGTTTAAAATTATTATAGACTCAGAAAAGTAACTTATGACCTGTGCTTGAAGTTATGTTCATTGCACTTCCCCCGTGATCACATGATTAAAATCTGGGTCCTCCTATTTATGACAATTGCAGCATCTTGCAATTAGATCAGTGGTTCTCAACCTGTGGGTCGGGACCCCATTTGGGGTCGAACGACCATTTCACGGGGGTCGCCAAACAAGGCTGTCCACCATTTTTTTCCCCTTTTCTTTGGCCACGGCCCTGGCACCCGGTGATATATAAGTGGTTGGGGGGTCACCACAACATGGGGAACTGTATTATGGGGTCGCGGCATTAGAAAGGTTGAGAACCACTGAGTTAGATGATCGTGATATGTGGTCTTCCCAGCCAACTTCCAACAAGCAATTGGGGAAAAAGGATTTGCTTAACAATTGTGTGATTCACTTAACAACCACATGATTTGCTTAATGGCCATGGTAAAAACTGTCATAAAATTGAATCCAATTGCTTGGTGACTCACTTAACGACTGATCCCAACTGTGGTCATAAGCTGAGGACTACCTGTAAATTCTGTATTTAAAATTTTTATTTCATTTCTATAAGAAGCTATTGCATATATTAACTCAAACTTGAAATGTAATATTTTCAGATGTTTATATTCTATCTCAATTACACGGGAGTTGACATTCGCACAAAGAAAATGGATTTACAGTGAAGAGACCGATGGTTCTGCATCCGATACACAAACACATCGCTCCACATATTCAATGGTCTACGGATTTGATTACAATAATATAGACCAATCATAGATGACTGGAGTGAAACATGGTCTCAATTTATTGATAAAAGTATCTCTGTAAACATTCCCTTTGTACAGTTATATTTTCTTTAGCTTCTGTTCCTTCTTATATAATTTTATGTATTTTTTTTCTTTTCTATAGTTAGTTAATCGAGAGATAGAGAGGGAGAGAGAGACAGCAAGAGACAGAGACAGGAGAGAGAGAGAGAGAGAGAGAGAGAGAGAGAGAGAGAGAGAGAGAGAGAGAGCGCTCAGTAGCAAAGTAATTTTTGAGAAACCCATATCCTTCTAACTATAAGAATGTTTAGCTACAGGCAATTTTCACTGATTGCACTCTTTTCTGCACTCGCTAAATGTCCTCTAACTTCATTTCATTTCCCTCTCATCTTTCCTTTTACTGTTTTGGTCCCCTCCTTCTAAGAATGGGCACACATGAACATATGCCGGTATTGTCAGAATACTCTTCCATGCCTCTGATGAAATACTGTATTTGTGCTCCACTTCCAGTGGATACCGGTTGCTTTTTAAGGTGCTAGAAAATTCTTTGCTGCTTTTCTATAGGTCATTCAGACTCATCTCAGACCAAAGTATGACAACAACGTATGAGAAGAAGGCAGAAAAGTAGCCTCTAAATTTTAAAAAAACTTGCATGAATACAGATTCCAAATTTAAGTACTCTTCTGCATTTTAGAAAAAGGAGACAATGACTACAGCAGGCAAGCTCAAGCAAAAAAACATTTGCAGCACACATTTTACATGAATCACAAATATATTTGGCATTTTTTTCTTGGAAGTACACTAGCGTATACAATGGACAAAATGATGACTACATTCCCCAAAGCCTAGTAATAATAATCTTATAAAAGCTACAAAAGTACAAACTTATTCCATAGGCTGCAAAGAGGTGGTTTAATGATATCTTAACAAAATCTCAGTGACGTACTGAGTTTTAGTCTCCTCTTAGGCACAGAAGGCACTAGGGTGAATTTGAGTCAGTCACTCCTTCTAGTTCAACCCACCTCACAAGGTTGTTTATGGAAGAAAAGGTGGGAGGGAGCATTTTGAGTAATAAAAAATAAAAATAGGATATAAAACAAACAGATAAAGGTAAAGTATTCCCCTGTGCAGTTGTGTCTGATTCTAGGGGGCAGCGCTCATCTCCGTTTCTTAGCAAGGGAGCCAGTGTTGTCTGAAGACAGTTCTGTGGTCATGTGGCCAGCATGACTATATGCTGAAGTTTAAATTTAATATGTCAGGGTGGGTTAATTATTAAATACATGGAAAGTAATCATAGCAATTGTATTTTAACTGAATTTCAGTCTTACAATTCTTGTCCACCCTCTTTCTCCTGACTTTTCTACCTGTAGTTTCCAAGATTCCATTGAATGACTAGTCCAGGGTAGGCAACGTTGACTCTTTTATGACTCATGGACTTCAACTCCCAGAATTGAATTGAATGGCTGGCTCAGGAATTCTGGCAGTTGAAGTCCACAAGTCATAAAAGAGCCAAGGTTGCCTACCCCTGGACTAGACTTACCCCAAACCTTAAATATTGCACTTCCCCAATGAAGTGTACAGGGCTAATAATATTCTGGGTTTTCAGAAGGGTTGACAACAATGCAACCATTCATGTTGTTTGAAGGTGGGCTTAAAATCAGATACCAGGAACTGGGAAGTAAACTGCAGCATGGGCTTTGCAATATGCTATTTACATTTAAAAATGCAAAAATTGTTGATATGGTCCACTTGTTTAGGATTCCTGATTGATAAATTTGCTTTCAAGATACACCATTCCATCTCTATCCTAATTTTTGTCTTTTTCTGTGCCCCTCCTGATTTTCTGCTTCAATCCTAAGTCAGTTATTTTAGATTCTTATCCCTCTTTGATCACTTGCCTTATTATTATTTTTTTTAACACATCTTACATTTTCCCTACACTTTGCAGAATGTGGCTTTGTCAAAATTCAGGCTACTCTGCCATCAGTACTTGTTTCAGCCTGCTATTAAAAGGAATGATATGGATACAATGATCTATGAAAAATACAACCATCAAACAAGCTTGTACTCTATTCATTCCACCATCAACCCCTAAACTCTATTTAGTTGATTATTTTATCAATGATATTTTGATAAAATTGCTCAATTTTGAACAGTAATTCATCTGAAACAGCAATGATTACATTTCTTTGGAAGAAGAAGAGATGGCACTTTGCCTAAATAATTTACTAGAATGATTCTTTGGTGTAGGAATATCTTTTTAATCTTTGATCACAAGAGGAGAATTACACCATTTCTTTTCTTTCTGAAGTTAATATTTTCACTCAGACCTCTCTTACAGAGCAAAGAATATCTTAAAATGATAAGAACCATCAATATGAAAGTAAGATGAGTTCTCAGCTCCTGGTGAACAAAATATTATTTGGAATGCTTTATTTAGCATGACATAGCAAAGAAGGATGAAGAATGGTATTCTTTTTTATCGCATTAAGCCAGAAAGTTAAAATAAACGTAATATAGAAGATTATACTATAAAATTAAAAGTCAGAATAATTAAGCTACACTTAGCCTCCATACAACTTTGGAACTGCACTTAACCATATTTTAATTTAGAAATAAGTGATTTAAATTCGAACAAAGATTCATAGTGGGTCACCCCTGAATCAGATGCTCTGCATTCTAACTTCTGATGTAACAGCAAGGGAAAATTATTAAATACATGGGATGAAATCATATTAACTATACTTAATGAATATAGGTACTTGCTTAATGGCAGTAACTGGGGCCAGAAGCTCCATTGCTAAGCAATTTGGTGACAAAGCGCAATGTCACATGACTGCGCCAACTTATAACGGCAGTTGTGGCTGACCCTACCAATTGCTGTTGTTAAGCAAATCTTATATGATGCAAGTTCACATGACTACAATTTGCAACCTCCCACCAACTTCCCCACTGACTTTCCTGGTCAAAAGCTGACAGGGAAGGTCACAAATGGTGATTATGTTACCTTGTGATATCATAATTGCGAGCCGGTTGTCAGGTGCCCAAATCACAATGACAAGACTGCAATAGCTATAACTACCAGGATCTTTCATAAGTCCCCCTCATTCAGTACCACTGTAATGGAATAGTTGCAGAACAAGTGGACTTTAAGTAAGAATTATGTATATATGTTTATTTTAATTGAATTTAGATGAATTCAAAATTAAGTGTTCGTCCTTGTTGGATCCACTTTTTTGGACCTAACCCCAGGACATTAATTAAACCTTTTTGCAAGCTTGGAAAAAGGATGTGCACTTTTCCTTTGGCCCTAATTTACAAAAACTGTTCTTTTTTAATGTTTAGCATTATTTTTTATTTATTTATCAAATTCTGATACCACCCATTTTACTGTCAGACTTACAGAAGAAGGATGCTATTTACATTTAGAAGTTTTAAATGTATTAAAATCAATTAAACAGGTGTTGCTCTTATGGCCCACTGGAGAACATTGCTTTGCCAAACTATTCAAAGCCAACCATAACCCACCAGTTTAGATAGATAGATAGATAGATAGATAGATAGATAGATAGATAGATAGATAGATAGATAGATAGATAGATAGATAGATAGATAGATAATAGACAGATAGATAGTGTTATTAATCAAAATATAAAATATAAAGACAAATAATGGGAAAGAAAGGGAGAAGAGAAGGAAGAGGGAAAAGTGTAGGGGAAAAGGGAAAAAAGAAAGAAAAGCATTCACTTCTGACACTTTTTAACACAATAGAATAAGGTAATAACATACCTAATTTTTTTAATTTTACATAGTAATATGTACAAGCAATTTCTATAGCAATAAATCTATCTAGTCAGCAAAACTCAAAATCAAAGTTTCATTTTTTCACTTCAAGAACAGATCCAGAAGCAGTTTGCAAGTAGAAACAAAATTAGTTGTATTTTTTGTTTTAATGAAAGCAGTCAGACACCTAGCAAAGCTGCTTTTCCTTTGAAATAAATAAAACGTTCATTCTCCCAATTTCTCTTAAAACAGTTAACATTTTCAACTGATTATGCATCTAGTCAAATATTTATTTGGGTTGTGAACAGGAGAGTAAATCTGAACAGTCAACCCTATATTTAAACTTCTGTTCTTAGACCAATCATCAAAATAATCAGAAGAAGATATAGTACTGCAAATTAATATTTTCATCTCTCTAATTGCTCATGACTTTTTGTATCTGGTTTGTAATAGTTTAAGAACATACTCTGCTGCAAACGTATCCAGTGTCTTGAAGAGCTCAATTTTGGGGGCTAAGTGTTCCAAAATGGCCTCCACTACAAGATCAGTGCTGTGGACCACAGAGACAGGATCCGTGTTCACGGTTATATTCTTTAAGGCCTTCTCAACAAATTCTACACCAGCCTGCAATGTTAGAGAAGCAATAAAATCTTTTTACTGAGGGTTATACTTTTTTTTATTGAAAAGTTTTATAAAAATTACAGTATACACCCAAAACCCACCCTAAACCTCCCTCTCCCTCCCCCACTTCCCAGAGATGAGTACAGGGTTACAAATATAATAATCAAACTCTAACTAACATTAACCAAATATATAAATAACCAAGTCCATAATGCGCTTTAACTCCCCTTTAACATAGGTATAAACAAATTAAAAATAAACATAATAATATAAACAAGTCGATATTATTAAACAATACAATATCCAAATTGTTAAACAATACTAATACTAAAATAATAATAAAACTAATAAAAATTCTACTATAATAAACTATTAATAATAATAATACTCTAAAATTTACTCATAAACTAAATGGAACTTTTTAGTCCCATATTTATTCTGAACATAATCTATCCATCTTCTCCAGACCGAAATGTATCTTTCTTGTGAATGATCCTTCAAGTAAGCAGAAATTTTCGCCATTTCTGCTAAATTTGACACTTTAAGCATCCATTCTTCTATAGTAGGCAAACAATCCTTCTTCCAATATTGCCCTACCAATAACCTTGCAACTGTTATCAAATTCAACATCAAGTTAATTTCTTTAGCATCACAATCTACAATAACACCCAATAAAAATAATTGTGGAGTAAACTTTATCTTTCTCCTAAAAATCTTTTGAATGTTCCACCAAATCTTAATCCAAAAAGCTTTTATATTTCTACAAGTCCACCAAATATGAAAATAAGTAGCATCCAAGCTACCACATCTCCAACATTTGGGCTGTAAATTGGGATACATACAAGACAACTTTTTAGGATCCAGATGCCATCTATAAAACATTTTGTAAAAATTTTCTCTTAAATTTTGGGCCTGGGTAAATTTTACATTTCTAACCCAAATTACCTCCCATATATCCAATGGAATCGGTTCTTGAATATTTTGGGCCCATTTTACCATACAATCTTTAACTAAATCCATTTCCGAATCCAATTCTATTAAAGCATTATAAATTCTCTTTATATGCGCTCGATTTTGATCTTTAATCTGTTTTACCAAATTCTCATCCATTAAGGTAATACCAACCTTTTGATCTAACTTCCACCTAACCAACAATTGATTATACTGAAACCAAGACTGTACAATATTTTCTTGCTTTAACTCAACTAACGGTTTTAATTGCCAATCATTCCCTACCAATCTAAGTAGTTCCTTATAAGAAATCCTATCCAAATTCACACCCATAGATACCTCCTCTATCACGTGTCCAGGAATCCCCCAGATTGGTATTTTATAATTTAACCTATAATAATACTTCTTCCAGACACGCAATAAAGCACTTCTTAAAATATGAGATTTAAAAGCCTGGTCAACTTTTTTGTTATAAATTAAGTATACATGCCACCCATATAATAAATCCCATCCCTCAAGATAAAGTATACTTTTATTTGTTAACTTAAGCCAATTACTAACCAGTGTTAAAACCACTGCATCATTGTATAATTTCAAATTAGGCGCCTTAAGTCCTCCTCTTTCCCGTGTGTCTTGTAAGATCTTAAATTTAATTCTTGGTTTTTTCCCCACCCAAATAAATTTATTAATACCCTTCTGCCATTCATCCAAATTGGCATCTTTTTTCAAAATAGGTATCATTTGAAATAAGAAAAGAAACTTTGGTAGAACACTCATTTTAACAGCTGCAAACTGAGGGTTATACTTGTCTGCATAAACAGAAGCTTGCTTCAACTGTAACATGGTTCATTTGTACTTTATTTATTTACTAAATTTACATAGCCACCCATCTCCCAAATGTTAACAATAAAGTCAATAATTAAGAAATCTTAAAAAAATCAAAACATGTAATAGAATGTGATATTATAAAATATTAGGAATTTGTTTGTGCACATTGAACTGATACAGGTAACTAACACATTATTGCTTGTCCCTCAAGTAGCAAAATACATTAGAGAAAAGGAAACCACTGGCAGCTTTATGTCTTCCCCGCTGCCCTGCCCAATTAAATGATGAAAATCCACTTCTGAGGCTTCACACAATTTTCAATGTGCAACAGTTCTGATTCCCTCCCCGTTTGACAGCACATGTTGCAACTGTCAGCACTGATATCCATCACTATGGCAGAACTTCAAAGATACGATCATCTGCACCTGAGCTTTTCACTCTATACAACTGGGACATTTGCACCATCTCTTTCAAAAAAATATTACTGCATAAACAGGTGCCACTTGCCTTAACTTTCAGCTTCAGACACTGAAGAAAACAGGCTTTGAAGGCAATATGCTTAAAGCAAAAGCTTGCTGCTGCTGAAATGCTCAGACTTAAAAAGCACCAAGAGCAGCCTCATCCACTTTAAAAGCAAGTATTTTGTGTGCTGGAGCAGAAAATCACTGAAAGGTCCAAAAAGAAGCAATGTGGTGGTTTTTCTTTAGTAGGTTAAAAACCCTTTGGATTGACTTCAGAGGGGAGATTCAACCAGATCAGTGAACCTCTAACAGGTGTGTCTTCAGAGGCTACAAATGCATAGTCAATGTAACCTGCAGAAGCACTACTTTTTGAAAACTTTTTAGAACGGTTATTTATGTTGGATTTTGATTTTTTTAAAAAACAGTTTTTAAAAAAACAAATCAATACCCGTTTGATTTTAGTTTAGCTTTCCTCATGTCCCCCAAATTTTGTTTCTGCATAGCAGCCTTCCTTAATCTAGTGGCTTCCCAAAACAGTTGAGGCTTCTCTACTGTATGTTGGGGAAAGTTGGCCCCTTGTACTAAACATGAAAAAGAACACTACCCTTCTCAATATTTATAAAATGTCACCTCAGGTTTGTCCGCAAACTTTTTCTTTGATAGTTTCTTCAGACTATCTTCAATTTGTTTCTTGGATTTATTTAATATTTCATCTGACTGGTCCACTAATACCACTGTGTGGCCAGTTGCTGCAGCAACCTGTAAAAAAGATATGAAAGGGGGAGGAAAAAGAGAAGTTAATCAATTTCCTATCCCAAGTAGTCCTTAATAATACTACATCTACCGTAAATGCCGGCATACAAGGCGACCCAGCGTATAAGACGACCCCCGTCTTTATAGCCGGACCGCATTCCTAGAACGTCATCTTATATGCCGGAAACTACCAGTATTTCCGGCGTATAAGACGACCCCCGTCTTTGGCGCCGATTTCAGCGCTCGCGGAAGTCGCCTTATACGCCGGCATTTACGGTACATGGATGGAAGTAAGCAGTAGGGTACCCCAAAGTTCCGTCTTAAGCCCAGTACTCTTCAATATCTTCATAAATGACTTAGATGAAGGAATAGAAGGGGAACTCATCAAATCTGCAGATGACACTAAGCTGGCAGGAATAGCCAACACCTCAGAAGACAAGCTCAGAATCCAAAAAGATCTTGACAGACTTGAGCAATGGGCCCTATCCAACAAAATGATATTTAATTTGGAGAAAAACAAAGTTTTATACATGGGCAAGAAAAACCAAAGGTACAAGTAAAGAATAGGTGAAACCTGGCTCAAAACAGTAACTGTGAGAGGAACCTTGGAGTCCTAGTGGACAATCACTTAAACATGAGTCAGTAGTGTGCAGCAGCAGCCAAAAAAACTAATATAATCCTTGGTTGTATAAACAAGGCACAGAATCAAAATCACATGAAGTATTATTAGTACTGCTTTATAAAGCCTTAGTAAGGCCACATTGGAATACTGCATCCAGTTTTGGTCATTACAAAAAAGATGTTGAGACTGAAACATATGAAGAACGGTTGCAGGATTTGGGAATGGCCATTCTAGAGAAAGAAGGACTAGGGGAGACATGATAGCAGTATTCCAGTATTTGAGAGGCTACTACAAGAAGGAAGGGCTCAATTTATTTTCCAAAGCACCAGAAGGCAAGACAAGAAACAACAGATGGAAATTAATCAAGGAGAGTAGCAACCTGGAAACTTCCTATTACTGACATTTAAGGACAATTAACCAGTGGAACAGCTTGCCTTCAGACATTGTGGGTGCTTCATCACTCGAGATTTTTAAGAAGAGACTGGACAGCCACTTGTCTGAAATGATACAGGGTCTCCTATTTGAGCAGGAGGCTGGACTAGAAGACCTCCAAGGTCCCTTCCAGCTCTATTCTGATTGATTGAAGTCATCTGTTGGACATCGGGAGTAAGTGGAAATTTAAGCATGGAGCTGCACAAAATTAATTTCATTATGCTGTTTGTTTCAAATATCAGTCCAGCAAAATTCCTGAACAGACAAAGGACCTGGCCCCATAAAAAGAGACTCAATACTTTTTGATTGGCCTTCTGTTTCGGAAGCACCCTTGAACACAGTCCTTAGCCTCTTCCTAACAGTTTGTAGGGACTATAAAGTGTGAAACCATGCTGTAGAACTTAACTCAAACCTAATTCAAATAAATTAAATTCAAATAAACCAAACTTCTGTCTACTCTTCCCAAATACGAAGACTTAAGTAAAAACAGAAACTACCATGTTAACCATGGGAAAAATAAAACAAAACAGAAGATAAATTCCAGATCAAAGCAATATATTTATAAGGCCTATTGAAGTTACACAAAATAGTGGCAAGTTTTGATAAACATTACAATTTCAAGGGCCCCATTCACCTCCCAACCTCCATGTATTTAAGGCCTTCCAAAATGCCAGCAAAGAGGATAATAGAATAATAGCATTGGAAGGGACCTTGGAAGTCTTCTAGTCCAATCCCCTGTTCAAGCAGCAAACCCTATACCAGTGATGGCGAACCTATGACACGCGTGTCAGTGCTGACACGCGTAGCCATTTGGGGTGACACACGCAGGATTTCATGCGATTTTATGCAATTCATCCTCGGCTCCTGCACGCCGAGGATGAAAAAAAATTTTTTTTTGTTTTCGCCACGGAAGAGAAATCCCCATGGATACCTGGCGGGTCACCAGGTTATGTGGGACTCGAACCCACTAAAACTCTCCCATTATGACTACCGCCCCCCTAGAGCAACCGTACCACTACGGCCTTGGATCCAGGAAGGATGAAAGAAATACGCTCTGTGCTGGAGGAACGGGGGGCGGGACGTGTGATCTCCCCCACCCACACTCACTCATTCACTGTGTCCCCGCCGCAAACTTCAGCCTGCGCCGCCGCCGACTGACAGGCAAGCACAGGCACAGCCCCTTTATCAGCGCAGGGGCTGCTGGTAAGGCATGCGTGCCGTGCACACACACTTCATCAGCACGGCTGAGAGTACGTTAGGGAGGACCCCCAGGAGAGGAGCGCAGGAACAGTGCGCGCCTTTCTCCAGTCAGGCCGCAATTAGTGAGTGCCACACAGTAAGGGGGACCTGTGAGCGCCATTAGCAGCAACTGTTGGGGTGCCATGGACTTGTAATTGCCCATAATAACTGAGATAAGTGAGGGGGAGGCTGTGTTAGGCTAGTTAACCCCTAATTGGCTAACAAGCTATCTATAATTCTATTTGCTGTCACTGGCCCACTGATGGAGCACCCAAAAAATAAAAAACAAAGGTTAAGTAAAGGGAGTGGTAGTAGTGGCCGACCCTTTCAAGAGACATGGAGCGAGATGTATGGTATTATAGAAAAAAATGGCAGATCATTTTGCGTTCTGTGTACTGAAACGGTAGTAAGCAGAACGTGGAATATAAATAGACATTTTGAAACTAATCATTCCCAGCTCTTGGAAAAAAGTGAGGATGAAAGGAAAGAATACATTTCCAGGAAGCTACACCTTTATAAGAGCCAATCTAACTCCATCCTTAAATTTATAAAAGGCTGTACAAATTTAACATCTGCAAGCTTGAGCATTGCTCACTCCATAGCTCAGCATGCAAAAGCACTTAATGAGGGAGAATTTATTAAAGAAACTCTCCTAAGATGTGCGCCACTTCTATTTCACGATATGTAGAATAAAGATGCAATTATTAAGAGAATATCTGAGTTACCTCTCAGTAGAAATATCATAAAAGACCGAATAATGAGACTGAACACAAACGTACAACATCAATTAAAGAGAGACATAAGGAATTGTAAATATTTTTCCATCTGTCTTGATGAAACTACTGATGTCATGTCACATGCTCAGTTGGCCATTATTGGTCGATATTCTGATAGTCACACAATGAGAGAAGAGTTGATAAAGTTAGTATCAGTTCCAACAAGTACATCAGGAAGCGAAATATGTAAGGTTGTTATGCAAACATTCTGCGACCTAAGCATTGATATCTCTAAAGTTGTGTCAGTGACGACAGATGGTGCCCCAAACATGGTGGGGAAAAAAGTTGGATTTGTGAAATTGTTTACAGAAGCTATTGGACATCCGATTGTGCCTTTTCATTGTATTATCCATCAGGAGGCTTTATGTGCCAAGGCAGGATTCACTGACTTAAATGACTTAATGTCAGTTGTTACAAAAATAGTTAATTTAATAGCTGCTCGCCCCCTTCACAAGCGAGAATTTTCAGCACTTTTACTGGAGGTTGATTCCACCTACAGTGGACTGCTGATGTACAATAATGTAAGATGGCTGAGCCGAGGCAAGGTTCTTGAGCGCTTTGTGGAGTGCTTTGAAGAAATTAAGGTATTTCTTGAAGATAAGGATCTGGGAAACTTTCCTCAGCTCAATGATGATAAGTGGGTCAACACCCTGATGTTTTTTACAGATCTCTCTGTTCATGTTAATGAACTGAACTTAAAGTTACAAGGTTTTGGCAAAAGTATTGATGTTATGTTTGGATACATAAAAGCTTTTGAAAGTAAAGTAAAAATTTTCAAGCGAGATGTAGAAACTAAAACGTATAAGTATTTTCCTCGAGTACAAAAGCATTTTGAGAAGGCCAGTGCAGCTGTACGAAATGAAGTGGAACTCTTGCATATGAAGTGCCAGCATGTTTTAGACTCGTTACTTGACCAGTTTACTGATAGATTTAGTCAATTTAGAAGCCTAGAACAGACCATGAGAATAATTAAGTATCCTGATGTAGTAGTCTACAATAGTTTGGAATTAAATGGTTTCCAATGGACGCAAATAGATGATTTGGAGATGCAGCTTGCAGAATTTCAAGACAGCATCTGGGCTCAGGTGTTTGTCGACTTGAGGTCAAAGCTTGAGAATCTGGAAAGGGGCCGCTTGGAGAATCAAGATGAGTGCCACTACGAACAGGAAATTTGGAGTGCCTGGAACAGACTACCAGACACTTTTAGCACCCTGAAAAATATAGCAACAGCTTTACTCACAATTTTTCCTTCTACGTACTTTTGTGAGACCTTATTCTCAGCATTAAATAATATCAAAACCAACAAAAGAAACAGATTGACAGATGAGGTTAGTAGCGCTTGCTTGGGCCTGAAGTGTACAAAATACCAACCTTCAATTGAAGATTTAGCCAATGAAATTCAGCAACAAAAAAGTCACTAATATGCAGGTTAGTTAAAGAATTCGCCCTCCCCCTCACTTATCTCAGTTCACGGCACCCCAAACAAGTTCAATAATATCAAGGGCAACATACGAAATCGACAGATTGATGAACAAAGAAGTTACTAAGCAGGTATGTTAAATAATTTGTTTTTGGTTTATTAAATACAATTATATATTGCAATTATACATTTTTGTAGTTTAAACTATAAATTGCGCAAAATTATGTTTTTTTGTCGAAGTGACACACCACGCGAGTTATGCTCGATTTTTTGCCGAATTTTGACACACCACGCCGAAAAGGTTGCCCATCACTGCCCTATACCATTTCAGACAAATGGTTGTCTGATCAAATCTGGTATGCCATAGAGTAGACCAGTGATGGCAAACCTTTTAGAGACCGAGTACCTAAACTGCAACCCAAAACCCACTTATGCATCGTCAGGTGCCGGGTAGGTGTGGCCCATTGGCTGGGTGTGGCCCATTGGCTGGGCATGGCCCATTGGGTGGGCGTAGCTG